TCATCACATTCTTAAGAATGCACTGAATATTTATGAGGACCTTAACTCCATGTAATAAAGCCCATATTCACTGACTGTGAATGCTTGTATGCTTTAGGGATAAAATAAATCAACAGGCATAAAAGAGGATCTCAGAGGCAAACAGGAAAATCTGCACATAATAACAAAGATAGTAACTATCTGGCAAATCTACATCACAAGGAAGAAAAATACTATGATTAAACATAATAAGACTTCACTTGAAATGTAAAATACTCAGGAACAAATCCTGCCAACTGGCATAAGAGCCAGCAAACAGGAAGTAGCTGACGATGCAGGAAAGCCCATCGCACAGGGGAAAGACAACATTAGAGAACCAGATGCTACTACACAGGCTTTGCCGTCGCGCTGCAGAGTGATTTCTATTGCTTGTTTCTGAAGTGTGTGAGTTTCAGTCCTCCCAGCTTTTGTTCACACTGCAGCACTTCTTGAATTCTGAGCCAGTAACAGGTGCCCAAGCAAAAAAAATACTGTTGTTCCTTTCCAAATTCTCGTGTCTGTGAGCTACTGACACCACTGGCTCAAGCATCCTTTCTTAGTGTTTGCCAGCATTGCACTCCTTCTACAGCTGAATCCTAGGTAATAGCAAGACTCAGATTAGCTTCACTAGATGAAAAATGAAGAGCTTGCACTGCCACTTAATGGTTTCCTCCCTGAAAATATAAGCACTGAGCATAGTCTTGTTACAGTCGGGATAAGGGGCTCCCTTTATCCCACTACCTGTGTGATACTTAGATTGCATGAAGACCATTCAGTACGAAACATGAATGATATTCATGCAGTCTAAGATTTCACACATTAAGGTAATAGATTACAATTGCAAACGTGAACTCACAAATTACAGAAAGCAGTTTTGCCTCATAAACTCCTGAATGTCTTGGCATTTGGAGTTAGTTTTGAACCCTTCCTAACCCTTCAGTTATAGCTTGTACTACATAGTTTTAAACTTGACTTTCAACTTTCAGTAATCATTTGCATGTGTGTGTATCTTCAAAGAATGGTATTTGCAACTATGTGTTGTAATGGGAGGCTAATTAACACAAATATGGTTATTAGCAAGTTACAGACATTTACAAGACAAAAACACCAGACCAAAGCCTATGGCTTACTGCGTCACAGGGACAGAGAATCTCAAGGATGGACTCGTCCCAGCCAGGACTGCCACTAACTACATTACCACGGGCAACTCGCCGACACTCTACAACTCTTCCCCTTCTGTAGTGGGATAGTAAGACTCATTTACTTCGCTGGGGAGTTCTCCAGCTTAATTAAATCATTACCTTTAAATTAAAGGCACTACAGAAATGCCAGGAAGTAGCGTCTGAATTAGAAGGTGGAGGTGACACCCTAAATGAAGCAAGACTATTTTCATCGTCAACAGCAGGCACAGTAAAAGGTCATTCGTGGCATAATTGCAAAACCGCATTCCAAGCTTCTGAAGGTAAGATGACTTTTCCCAAAACTTCATTAAGGAAGAGGATATGTCCCAGCATCACTAGATGGCTGAAATGCTATAGTGTCACAGGCAATCTACAAGGATTTCATAACTGCTAATCTTTTCTTTTCCTTATTTTTTGTTTTTCTAATAGCAACAAAATATCACGGCTCTTTGAAAGAACGCTCTTTCCACAGGCAACTGTTTTTGGTATGATCAAAGACCTATTAAGAAAATTGCAGAGGATCATTTCCCTTCAAGTCAGTAATGTTCAGCACTGTTTTCAATCTTTTCTTTATAAGAGCCACAGTAGAGGCACTCCCACATTTTGTCTGGGAGAGCTTCTCCCAAATATCATTATATTCTAATATTCCCCATACGCAGTGGGAATTCTCAGCTCCGCACCAACATTAGGACGGTTCTGAAAGATTCAATATCACTATCCAGGCTTTTTATTTTGAAAGTATTGGAAGAAACTTATTCTTAAACCATAGGAAATAGGACGGTTCTCAGCAGAGGCCCAGTTTTACTGCGTATTCCCAAAAGAGCCTCAACTCAGTGTCAGGTGTAAAGCTGTGCGTGTCCCACATCTCCAACTGCACTCCAGTTTTGTCACTGAATGTCCCAGATACCATAAGGCACATCCCGTCCCAAATGTCTTTCACCTGTAATGGGACGTCCTTGAAACCAGAACTAGGGAAACAGGTACCTACTTCTTTCTTTGCTGCACCTGAAAAAGATTACCCTGAAAAAACTCACAATACACAATCTTTATATTCAGAAGTAAGAGCATAAACACCAAGAAACACTGCATTTGCTGTCCACCTTTTAGCAATGAGGAGCAAGAAGTGCCATGGGAGAGGGCAGCCTCCAATTTCTTTCTGTTACATAAGAGCTCCCTGCACTGACTGGATGCATATTATCTAACTGGTGTGGGTTAGTTAGAAAATAGCAGAAGATGCTCTGAGAATTACGTCTGCCACAAAGAATTCCACAGATCATCATCTTTTCTAAATATGATGACTTTGACTAAATATATACCTGCTTTAAAAACTTGCATCTGTGACCAGGAAGACCAAAACGGCTGTGAATTAAGTTTTAAAATAAGACAGAAGGCATACTTGTAGCATCATGGCCAAACAACCAGGTTCTCTGCTCATGTCTGTCAGTCAGCTGCCTACTGACCACTTTGGGGCATTTCAGGAAGAAGTCCTAAAGTTTTCCTTTAAAAAAGAGAAAAAAAATGGGCAGAGGACTCTTACAGGACACCAAGAGAAAGGTTAATGACAAAGGTCAACTCTTATTTGACCTCAGAGAACCCACAGCAGGGATCACCCTGGAGACACAAGCCCCCAGGAACCAGTTTCCATCGGTACCGCCGCTCCTGAACACTTTTTTCGGATGGAGCTGGAACCAGGAATTAACACAGTTCTCACAGCAGGTCACTGGCCTTAGGTGAGTCGTAACTTCTCATGCTACTTCCCCTGCCGTAATGTGGCTAGTGTTAAAGCACCTTATTATGTTGCTGCAACAATTCATATTTGCAATGTACTTTGAAGGTCTGAAGAGTTGTGTTCACTAATTATTACCTGTCTTGAGACATGAACTGAATATTCAAAGTGCTAGCTTGATTCATATGCAAGTGCACGTCACATAAGTATGTGGTATGCACCGAGACTCAACAAATAAAAGCAAAGATTGCTTTTAAAGAAGGCTTCATTATGAAGTCAGCTTTGAGTACAAAAATATATAATTTTATTACCACAGCTCTTCTATTAGACCAGATTTAAATTGTTCCTTGTTTCAGATTAGCACTTTATAAAACATCAGTTTGAAAAACAAATACCAACCAGCACAAGACAAATAGGTCGTGCAAAACTTGGTTCTGCCCCCAGCTGTCCCTAAAGGGAAAGTCTGATGTTGGAGATCTCGTAACCTTTGCTATCAAGCTGAAAGCAAGCAGATAAGTTCCACGGGGCGGTTACTGGGTACTGCCAAACCAGAGCTTACCCTAGAAATACTGTAGTGCTGGTGATGCTACATCCCAGCAGGCAGGCATTTTAATCCTCTTTTTGGTCAGGCACTTTTCAGCCTTCCCACAAATGAAGATGCTTCTCCCCTCCCTTGACAGAGCATCCCACATATTCTGTACTTGAAGACAAAAAAAAAGCGATGACAGAACTGTTGCTCAAAGTAACATAACAAACAGGTGAATAATATAATGATTTAAATACATATATACATGTATAAATAGCCTGTGTATGCGTGCTGGGGGATAGCTTCCTGAAAAGGAACCTTTCTATGCATGGAAGGAAAATGGTGCTTCGTGGTCAGTCTCCGCACTAGAGATTCCTATTTGAGGGTGAAGGAGCAAACTACAATTTCCTCGGCTAATAACAGAGCAATGTTGGATCTTCAGGCTTCCTCCTGTAACATGCTGAGGACCAAGTGACTGCTTGGTACCTCCCAAGACTGGGCCTTTGCATTTCCAGAAGGAGCAAGCCCTGTCTAAATATCATAATAAAAAGCCACAACAGCACTCAGGTAAATTTTCATTCTAACCCTTTCCACTTTGCTACCGCAAACAGAACCAAACCATCCTGGCCAACTTACGCTGACAGCAACGACTGGGTTTGTATCCCTTGCACCCTATTACTGCCCTACAAACATATTTTAATGCAGCATAAACAAATACGCTGATTTGCTTAACACCACATCGAGTCCTAGCGATTAAAGTATGTATATGCATAGAGCAAAATTCATGCATGCGCAGACGCATTTGTAAGCTCCGAAGACAGAAATTATCGGTATTGCCAAACGCAGAATATGCATTACGCTTAATTACACGAGACAGTTGAGTGCCGCCAAGCCTACTTCATTTCTAATTAGAAAAACTTCGGCGATCGTTTTCTTCCCCGCTGCTATCGCCTGACGGGAATAAACGAGGAGTCCCCTCTGGGGACTGAGCAGCGCATCCTGGCACGCGTTCGTGTCCAAACCTGGGCTGGCAGCGCCCGGCTCGAAGGCGAGAGGCGCCCCGCAAGGTGCAGCGCGATGCCCCAGCGCCCATCCCAGTGCTGCTGGCACCTGCTTGCCAGGTCCGTGGGGCAGGGACCCTCCTGGAGAATGGTTTTTCCTTCGGCGTGGCTCGCACCCCGTGTTCGTGGGGGCTGTTACCCCAGCGGGTGCTGCCCCCTGGCCCGGGGGTGCTGCTGGCACCCCGCAGCCCCTCCAGCATCGCTGCCGGCGCTGCCCGAAGAAGAAGCGCCGTGCCAAGCCCGGCCAAACAAAGGACTCCTCCTTTTATTTCCCATAAAATTAAGGCAAAGCAGAGAACAATACCACCAGGGGGGCTCACAATGGGCGCCGCTGCAGCCCGCCTCACCCTAACCCACCGCAGGGCGAGACGGAGCCGGGACCCCCGCAACCCCACCGCGCTCCGAGCCCCGACCCTAAAACCCCAAATACCACCCGGGGACCCCATCCGGGAGCCCCAAAAGCCCCAAAAAAGCAGCGCTGCCCTCACCTGCCACCGTGTACCGGTCCAGGTAGTTGAGCACGTTGCCCACGCTGAGGATGCCGGCGGCGGCCACGCGTGCCCGGCCGAGGCTCGGCGCCTTGCGGCGGGCTGCGGGGCGCTCGGGCGGCGGGTTCATGCTGCCCGACAGCGTCTGCACCTCGCCCTCCGCTCCCCGGCCGCAGCAGCCGCGCTCGCCCTCCTCTTCTTCCTCCTCCTCCTCCTCCTCCTCCTCCTCCTCTTCCTCGTCACCGGCTCGGAGCCGCCCGCCGCAAGCCGGGCTGCTGCCGGAGGAGCCGTCGCTTTCCAGGCACATCATGGGGCTGCGGGAGGCAGCGCCGCGGAGCCTCCAGCGCGGAGCCGCTGCCACCACCGAGCCGCCTCCTCCTCCTCCTCCTCCGCCGCTGCCTCAGCGCCGCATCCCGCGGCCGCCCCAGCCCCATGCCCCATGCCCCTGCCCCTGCCCGCGGGACCGGCGGCCGCCGCCTGACAGCCGGGGGCAGGGCCAGGCAGGGAGGGGGCGGGGTCTGGATGTGGCTCCGCCCCCCCTCCCTCAGTCCTGTCAGGGGTTGGGGTTTGGCGGGGGGGGTTCTCCTCAGGGACCCCCGGGATATGGGGGAACACGGGGGGCTCGGCACGGTTCAGTGTGGGTGCAAATAATGGGTGCCCCAGCTCAGTGTTACTAAGCTGTGGTGCTGTGCAGCCGCTGAGGGAACGCTCGTTGTGTGTGGAGCCTGGGTGGCAGACGGGGCTCCAGATGATTACCAGGGCCAGTTGGTGGCTGAGGGGAAAATGCAGAAGCCCCACCTCAGCCCACCTTTGGATTAGGTTTTAACCCCAAACCCACCTCTACCTCAAATTTTAACCCCACCTTCACCTCAGGTTTTAACCCCAAGCCCACCTCCACCTCAGTTTTTTTTCCCACCTCCACCTCAGGTTTTAACCCCAAGCCCACGTCCACCTCAGTTGTTTTTTTCCCACCTCCACCTCAGGTTTTAACCACAAGCCCACACAAAAAGCTCCTCGCGTAGTTTCAGCTCCCGGGGCCGTCTACACAAGGGAGCGCTGCCAGGGAAGGGACGACGTGAGGCGAGGTGAGGGCGAGCGGCGATGTTCTGCAGCGTGCCGCCAACCTCGCCGCTTCCTGCCTGCCCCCCCGGGATTTTCCTACTGCACAGCAGTGACTTCGGGAACAACTCACGGCTTCAAAGGAAGTAAAATGGCTCCAAATTCCCCGTGCTGAGAGCAGTTTTGCCCCGCTCCCTACAAAGTTCCACCTCGGAGCTAAGGGCCAAGAGACATTTCATTTCAAAAGGAGAATCCTTCAAAGAGATAAAAGCCTTCATAACCTGAGTGGCTCCAGCCTGTCGTACCTGTAGTAAAACTACAAAAGCTAGCTCCAAAGCGAGGAATAAAATGACACCTAGGAGCTCACGTGTGCCTGCCCAGGAGCAGTAGGTTACAATTTCAGGTTTCTTACCTCCAGAACTGTACCATGAGCGAGGCCTTCGCCTCTGGGACTACGTACCTAAAACCTGTCACCCACCTCTGAACAAACCAGCGTTACTCAGAGAGCAGCACGGTGTGGTGTGTGTGCTCAGCACGGCTTTGTCACACCCTCCTCAGCACTGGAACCAGTCTCGGCTGTGACCAGGCACCGATGACAGCAGGACCAGACCGTGTCCTAATCTGGGGAGAAACTGCAGCAGGAAACCTGGCGGTGCTGCAGGTGAGAAGGGCACTTTCTGGGGAGGCAGCATGCCATTCGGTTCTGTTTGGGCAATGTGCCATGAAGGAAAAGAGTGAGCACTGTTTCTGATGACACTCGATACTCCCAGTAACGGTAAGTGACGTTTTTACCTTGAGAATAGGTCTGCATAGATGTTACAGAGCTGGTTTCGGTAACAGAAACAGAGTAGCTTGTGGTAATAGAGATGATAGATATAGTTAACTTGTCTGAATCTAGGGAAATTTATGTACCCCATAACAGCATTTGCAGTTCAGATTTGACTGACTGCATGGTAAAGTTTATACTGACAAGACTGCATCTTTACATTCCCACTAATTTCATTATTCAAGTGGCATATAAAGTATATGTGCTTCTGAGGTTCCAGAAGTTCCACAGAGGCCAGCCAAAGTATCGAGGATCCCTCACAGGTCTGCTCAGCACGGTCTGCTCCAAAGTCTGTTCCACACCACTTGTGCTCCCCGTGGGCATTGCACACAGACCCCAAAGACTAGTACCTGTTTTGCAAACAGGACACTGTGTAGAAGATGTTAGCAAGATTAACAGGTAAGGCAAAATTAAAGAGCTTAGTTTTATGCATGGAAATGCTTCCTCTGAAAGCAATTAGGAAAGGACAGTGTTCTTGATAAGCAGAAGTTTTTTGTTTTGTTTTTCAATTTCTAACCAATATCAAGTACACAAACACAGCTGATAATGAAGTTAAGGTGGCTTGCTGCACATTGAAATAGCTGCCTAAAAAGACTGTGGAGTGGCTTCTCCAAATCTCCCTGGATCCAGCAAATCCCCAAGAGGAGAGTGATCAGCCCAAATGCCAACTTGCTGTAGAAGGCTAACATACATTCAAAAGTCCAGGCAGGCTTCTGACGACTGTCGAACATGGAGCAATGCAGAACTGAGCTGAAGGCGCTTCACGTAAGAGCATCCTTTTATTTCTGACGCAGAGAGGAGCTTCAGCTCAGAAACCTCTACAGATACAGCACAAAGAAGGAGGCCTTGATCAGGTAGTTACTTCCACAGCCATGCAAGGTCCTTACAGCCAACCATAACACCTTCAACTCCACATGACAATTCACGAACAGAGAAGATGCCAATACATAAATCGTGTGACATGGATGCAAAGGAAAAACAGAGGGAACTGGAAAAAATGTAATGTAATTGGCATTACTGGCATGATGATTCATATGACTGAACTGCTAACATCACTGGTTACTACCTCTTCAGAGGGGCAGAGTAGATTCCAGCTTAAATACACTGCTGTTTTGTTTTTTTTTTTGCTGTTACAGGTTGTTGAGAGGGGATTTGATTACAGAGTGCAAGCTCTATCATGGGGAGAAAAATGCCAGTACTAAGAGCTCTAATCAAGTGGAGAAAGGCATAGCAAGAACCAGAACAATGGCTCAGAGCTGGAGTTAGAAAAATCCTAATGAATCATCTGTTTCACATTTGTTAGACTGATTATCCCCTGGAACAAAATGCTAAAGAAGGGGTGTATTCTCCATCCCTTTGTGTTCTTGGATCCAGGTTGATTGCCTTTCTAGAAGGTGCATTATTGAGCTCAAACATGAGCTATTGCACACCACACAGACAACTGGCTGTAATTTAATGGTAGGAGGTCAAGTTAGATGGGTTAAAGTCCCAACTCTGAAGACAGAAATTCTTACACTGCCTACCAAGTACACCTTTTCTACACCCACTTCAGTCTCTAGAGTGATCTGAGTGTAGCCCCAAGGAAAACACGTTACAACAACCTGATCTTCAAATGGTGTTTGCTAAACAGTAGTGTTCTCCTAGCCATGGTCATAGAGATGGATAGCACCTTACCAGGAACTGTGATACTATGTTCTCTAGAAACTGGGAAGCTCCCTCACACTGGAAACGCTACCAGGAAGTGAACAGGTAGAAGACAATGACAGAACTCTCTCCAGTCCTACCCATTTTGGGGCTTTGAACAGATTGCAACTCTGCAAGAACAAGAATAACCTGCAATTGCCCACCTACGTTCCCATTATGCCCACTGTCTCCTAGGCTTCTTTTTTCTTCAGTAATTTCTTAGCTGAATTAACCTGTTGCTAGGAATTGATCTTACACAGCAGCATTTATAAGCTCACCCACCTCAGAAGTGTCTTGTACCATATGTTGTAATGGGTAGAACTGCTGAGAATCAAGCAGGTCTTCCAAATCAGCCAAGGGGGCTACACATTAGCATATAGCTCCACATTTCTCCAACAGTCATTCTTTCAAACAGACTCTCTCCATAAGATATCTGAGGAGACCAGACTCCCAGTTTGTGTGTTCAGTGCTCAGTGATGTGAGGAACCCCTGGTCAACATCCTTCTTGCTCTACTCTCTTATATGACATGTCTCACTGAGGAGAGCTTTGGGCACCAGTGCACTGAAACCTGTTTGCACAGGGTGCCACATGCACAGAGCAGCACAGACAGACCACATCCCCAGTCAGAAGCATTTCATTATGCAGAGAAGATATGAAAAATGCTCCATGATAAGCAGAAGTTTTACAGAGTTCTCAGAAGGCAAATCAGGCTTCATCTCAATGCCAAAATGTATTGGTCTTTTAATCGGTTCCCTTGATCCAACAGATATGTGATGGAGGCAGAGATAGTGAATCAAAGGAAAAATCATGAACGGGAGCTGCCATCCCAAGGCTCAGTTGCTTTCTAACCCTCTGTAGTGCTTGAAACGATAAATTGGATGCAGAAGCAGCTGTATTGCCATGAAAACATTTAGCTTTTGCAGAATACTAGCAGCCACTCTCTTCCTCTACTGAAATCCTACATAAGTGCCTGAATATTTGTTTGGGAATTTTTTTGGTTACAATATTTTTTAGCGTTCTAGTCTGTCTAGCATAGTATATCTCATGCCAACCACAATGGAAAAAAAATAATAACTCCTTCCCACACCCAACAAGAAAAAACACAACACACACAAACACCATACCAAAAATCTCCAGGCCTAGCAGACTGTTCAGAATCACAGCATCCAGAGGAGTTGTTGCAGCAGGCAAACGCACCGTTACCCTTTGCAATTTCGAGTGAATGGCCTTTGATGTTCAGGACTGTTGAGTGTAGTAATCCATCTCCAAAAATACTGACCTTCATTATACTCAGAGGAGGCTCAGTGCTCCAAATAAACAGAGCTTGTGGTCTCACCTCAGGTCCCAGCGGGACTACAATTACTAGCACACCACATTTTTGGCAAGTTTTGTCCCATGTTTGAATGGAAGATGTTGAGCCTGAACTACTGCCTCCCCCCACCAGAGGAGTCAGATTCTGCAGATGATACCATGCGTATTTGCTGTTAGTGTCCCACTTCTCAGAACAGCTAAATACTTGAGGTCTGATTAACTAGCATTTAAGAATCCAGAGTGGAATGGAGAGTTACAGAAATAGCATTCTTGCACCACCCCAGCATTTTAGGAAGGCACTGCCAGGTCCATGTGGGAGCAGAGGAATCCCAAAACAATAGGGACAGACCCAGCAGTTACCAGTTTATAAACAGCTTCCTGGCATCTTACAAAAGAGCTTAAGCCACGAGAAGGGGATCCTTACAAAAACAACATCAACAGAAATGGTTGCACCGTTTGCCTTTGCCCACATAAGGACAGATAAGAAATGAGGTCACACAAAGTGGAGCAGGCTGAAACTCTACAGCTCTAACTGCATGGTTTTCACAGTCAACTTAACTCGTTTCAAGACCAAATTTCCTCGAGGAACTTGGAAAATTCCAGCTCATTGCTAGCAGCTGTAATTAGGGCCAAGCATCCATTGTACCAAACATTGTCCCCAAAATCACAATTCCCAGTCCCATAACCTCATCTGATTTATGTTAATACTTCATCAGGGTCACTTGAATTTATAGTACTCCATGTGGGCTCAAGCTATTTGCATTTAAAAGCAGCTATAGCCTCAGCACCTGTAGGGTCAATCTGTATATTCAGAAGAGGGATTTATTTTATCTCACATTTAGTAATTTTCATGCCTTTTCAGCATTCACAGTGAAGCCATGTGGTTTATAATGTGATACTGGGGACAGACTCTCTAGGACTGAACAGCAGTTACATCCTTGGACTGAATGATTGCTTACAAGTGTAGGGGACAGGATTTGACAACTCAATCTATAGGATGGAGGGCACCAGCTTTTATTCTTCAGCAGTTCAAGTCTCCAGAGTCCATAGTGGTGATTGGCCTACTTGATCAAAGAAAACTGAACACACATGGGTTGCTTCCCTAGTGAATTGCTCTGCCCAACTTGTTAGAAGATCAAGAACATGCAGAGAGCTCTTTGACCAGTTACAGCAAATTCTGTACCACAAGCATGATAAAAGTCATTCAAAGCTAAACCACTACTCCAAAATTAGAAAGTTTCTACTCAAGGTAATGGTGGCTACGTGTACTAGCAAGATTGTTTGAAGGGGTCACAGTTTGAAGCAAGATCAGGGAATGTAAAAATATTCTAAAGAAGAACGTCCAAATTATTCTGGGATCATCTGGGTCTTGAAAGAGAAAAAAGGAGGTTCTCAATCCACTGTCCAGGTAAAGTAGCATGGAGTAGGGGGGTGGGCAGATTTGAATTTAAGTTTGTTTTTTATTGCACAGGAAAGCAAAGGAGAGAATACTTATGTGAGATAGATGCAGAGTAAAGGGACACATGTTGTGGGTTACAAAACTAACTGCAGCTCTATAAATTATTATCAGCTACTATTTCTTCGTTCAAGCAATCTTGTTTCCTAATCAGAGAAATTTTAAATTAAGCATCATCTTCAACAAGAAAGAGAGCTGATCACGTAATTGTTTGTTATGATTTGTGTGGGAGTGCTCCTACCTGGATTGTCTTTCTTGTATGCAAACAGAATATAGTTCATGAGTAATTTCCACTTCTGTGTATAGTGTCTGGTGTTTTAACAGGGCCTGTTTCACAAAGCTGAAACAATCATGAGTCCAATTAGGAGAGAAATAATAACAATCAAGGAAGCCACTCATTGAGAAAGAGGTTACAAAATGCATACTATAACCACCAAAAAAAAAAAAAAGACATTTTTTGATAAATTCAAAACGTGTAGATAAAACAAATTGATAACGAAGCAAAAGGACAAAATATTCTGTAAACAATATTTTCATTTTCAAGTCTATTTTAACATAGAGTAGTGTCGACAGTGTACTACCTCCATCATTAGATAAAGGAGTAGAGCTGTCAACAACAGACCTGTGCTGCAGTCTGAAGGTACTAAGGCTTAAGATGCTTTTAAGTCAGAACTTCAGAGATTGTTAAAAGAGCTGGATGAGGGCTCTCTGCTCTGCTGACACATGACATGCTGATAACTGTTAACATGGAGAGCTTCCAGAAGCCTGGAAGTGAGTTCATGTTGTGCTGATATTTTATAAGTATAAATACAGGTCTGCCAACCTGGCAGTAGTTGTGCGTAAAATAACATAAAGACTGGCACGGGACTCGATTAATCGAGAAATATGGGGATCATGTAATTAGTACCAATGCACAAACATTTATTAAAAAGTAAAAAGGTAATAATTACCAAATGAAATTAATTTTTATTCTAATGGGATCAAAATTTTGCTTGCCTGCTGAAAGGTAACAACATCACTATAATGGATTTTGCACAACACTTAATTTGGTATTATATAACATGCTGATTAGGGATCCACAACAATTCAGACTTAACACGAGATGTTAAATGAATTAGACTTGGCTATATAACAAGTCACAAGATATAATTGTAAGGGGAGATATATTACTAAGCGTATTTCTGAAGGAGTCCCTCAGGAAGTTTAGCTCTGTTTGTTTTAATATATTGTTAGTGACAAGAAGAAAAGCAATCAACAACCAGGGCTACAGTATCTAGTAAAATAAGAGTGGCAGAGCTTACTGCTGGAACGATCTGGATTGGTTGGTAAACTGGAATAATATATTTTAACAGCTAGGAGCACAGAACATAGGTCTTACAGGACAAAATTCTTCAGTCTGGAAATGTGACTGGGCTGACAGCAAAAGCTCAATTGAATGTGAGCTCCCAGTTGAGTGCTGCGGAAAAAAAGGGCTATGAACATCACAGAAACCTGGAGTAGGAAGCGAGTGACATCACCTTTTAATTGTGGTGCCACATCCACTGCTGACACAACAAGTACAGTTTCGTTGACTACCACTCCAGAATGCTGTTGATAAATAGAAGAGTGAGTACTCAGGAAACAGCTGCAAGAAAGATGAAGGGGCTGGGAACGACATTTTAAAATGAAAAATTCAAGAAGCTCAATGGGTTTGGATTTTTAGGCCAAGGGCTTACTTGCACAGATTTTTGAGCACATATATGGGAAAATGAATTCTGTTGCTACAGACTCTATCTGTGTAACAAAACTGTAATAAAAATAAAAATAAATCCTTTCCAGCTAGGATAGTGAAGCTACATAGATTTAAAGTACAAACAAAATTTGTGTTTATCGATAATTAGCTGAACCAAATCACCAGCAATTGTTGCAGTTCTACTTTACAAATTTTTTTTTAAGTCAAAATCAGATACTTTTCTAAAACCTGTATAGTTCAAACAGGAAACTGTTGCCAGCTAGCTCTTTTTAGCAGGTAATTCTTCCCAGACAGGTACATCGCATACCTGGTGCTCGGAGATGCCAAAGCTGATCTTCTCCAACTTCATTCTGAAATGTAATCTACAGCCAGACCAACGTGCAATCACATAACCATGCAAGCCAAGACAAAAGAACAAGGCAATCTTATGCCTAGAGGTGAGAGAAGACTGAGCATCATTGGCAAACTTCTTCACTGTAAAGAAGGCTGGGCTGCATACTGGAAAAACTCACCGCAGCAGGAAGAATATCACAAGCTCTTCAACCTGCATCATTTCCTAAAGCGACTCAATCAGCAATATTCACACGGCTGTATCCTATGCCTTATTCTGTGAATTACAGTGATACTGGTGAACGTGTGGAAAGCACATTAAAAATAAAACCTTTGCAAGTGAGGACCACGTCTTGCAGTAGAGGATCTGGTTGAATACTACTGTAACTCACTTTTTCCTGCCATTCATAAGCTGCACAAATTGCCATCAGCAGTTCCTTTAATTGAATTACAGCGTGGCTGTGGAATCAGGAAATGTGCTTTCTACTCAGGGGAAGAGAATGTAGAGGTAGAGATTGGCACATCCTTTCAGGATACATACATTCAATGTTGATTCATGGGCAGGTCTGAAATTCTTTTAGCAAAATGTGTATTGGCCTGGAAAGCTCTCAGGAACAGTTATCCCAAAAAACAGAGGTGAGCGGTATTTAGTAACCACTGATGGAAATAACCAGACTCCACCTTAATACTGCTCCTAAAAATAGTTCAGTTTCCAGCCCATTAGAAAAAAAAATAGAATTATCTGCTGATGGCACCTGGTGCTTATGATGGTAGCTAGTTCAGCTGCATCTCTTTTATCCTTTCCATAAAACGTGGGACTGGAAAAGCCTTCCAGACCTTCATATTCTAAAAACTTTCCCATAGCTCCCATACCCTTTTGCTCTTTGACTCATGCTATCTTTTGGGTTAAATATATTTAGTTTCCTATTGCTCATTCCTATGATATATTTATAGACAGAATCTTGCCCCTCACAGGGTAGGCTCTTACCTTCACTCATAAAACTGGTTCTTAGGATGACTGGGAAATGGATAACCTTTTTCTGCGCTTGTTTCCGCGCTAAGAGCCCCATGCAGAACTCTAGAGATTTCATTCCTACTTTGTGCCATATATTAATAACCCTTTATCTTTTCCTGATTACTAGATCTACAATTGCATGCTTCCTGCCTGACAGGCTGGATCCACCCTTTGACTGGCCTTATATCTAGTCTTCTTCCTCATCTGATTTCACCTAAGTGTTCTGTATAGCAGAAATCCTTGCTGACTTACAGGCTCATAATCCCGCACCTTGTATTGCTGAATTGTATCCATTTCAGTTGCATTAGATTTAAAAATTCTCCATAAACGTAAACCAATACAAAATATTGAATAAGATCACATGGATTATTAGAAATTTCATTTCTCAATACTCTCATCTCATTTCAATGCTGCTTGTCTCATCTTTTAAAGATTCAGCCTAAAACGCGCTTATTCTCACATCCTCACTTGCAAATTATTCCCTTGGTAATCCGATATGAATTGTTTTACCGGGATTCATATCTCTTGTTATCTTCCCTATCTTATGAAAGGAATTGCACAGCTAAACTGAGCATTATTCCTGTTTCATAAAACCAAATGGGACTTTGTCCCTTTGCCCCTTTCCCTTCCAATTACTCTTTCAATATTCCCAATTTATGATGATCAAAGACCTGTTAGCCAGATCACTTTTTCCTAACTCTTAAATATAGTTCTCTTCTCTGCTTGTAGGGTCCTATTCTCAAAAGGCAGATTTGTTCAAACACTCTGCTGCTATATTGTAGTTCTTTCAGTATGCTGGAGTGAGGAGTCCTGCATTCAGGAGGAATTCCAGTAATATTTGTAAATTAGATGACAAAAATTCCAGACCTTCTCCATATTTAACTAAGTTGGGCTCCCTAATCAGTTTTCCTCCTGAAACAGAAAATCTGATTCACAAACCTACTTTTGTTTATCCTTTCATTTAATTTATATAGAACCAGCTTATGATCACCCAAGGTAGGATAATGTTTTTCAGCAGCTTTTTTATTTATCCTTACCACTTGCAGAAATCATATTTGAAATTATATCATCTCTTGTTGATTCAGGCACATTTTGATGAGAAAGATCTGTCAGATATAATATCCAGGACAATCTGACCTTACATTTAATAGCATCTTCTCTCTTGTCTATTATCTGGGAGGTGTGTCTTCATATGATAGTCACCAGTAATATGTCTCTTTTTAATAATCCTGCAAAGATTTTATGCAGATATGACTAATGAAAGAGAGAAGCCTTCTAGCACCAACCTGGCAGAGCTTTTTATCCATGCAGTCCCTTTCCAGTTCCTTACAGCCTGTCTTGTCTTTAGCACAGGAGAAAGGGGAGCAGTCGTCCTGCATGGATTTTTCCGGACAATGCAAATGGATTTTGGAGCTGTAGTTTACACACAAATTCCACGTTGCAAGGAAGACTGAGATAGTTAAAAGCTCATCACAACGTCAACACTTTATGTTAGAAACATTAATAAGTCAGGGCCTGCCATTAGCTCTGTCTGCAGCTTTAGACTATGCCACAGCCAAACAGTAGCTAGAGGATGATGAGAGAGCAGTGAAAGTTTCTCATCACCGTTGATCCTATCTGAAAAACATTTTTCACCGCTACAAAAAAACATGTTCAGTGATGCCCCTGACTCCTTGGCTTTTGCTTATTGAAAAATAATCAAGGCCTTAGAAATACTGGTGTTGAAAAAAAAAAAAAAAAAAAAAACAGTGAGAGCTTTCTTTGTGAAGAAACCACAGCTTGTGAAGGACTTCACAATCCAACAATACCCAAGCCACAGCGCTTTTATCACCACAAAGTAGCTGGCCCTTAATACCACATGAATGTTTTGTGAGCTCTTTTCCAGATAAACATTTTTAGCATTTGGTTTTCCTTCATTTTTGTGGACTGAACTCCCTGTGGAATAGGCGATGAAACACAATGCTGTTTTTCACATCTGAGCACCATAGGACTAGCACTGCCCTTCCCCACCTCCAGCCCACGGAGAAGTGTGCCCTAAAAGCAACATAATTATGTAACTGACCTCTTAACAGTAACTTTCCCTCTTAGCACTTGGAAACATCCTCCTCCCACACAAACATGGCAGGGTTAACCGGCAGCGTGTTTGGATCGCGCAGGTAGGAGTCGATTTGCCCTTGTCGCAGTTATCACTGAGAGGGTGAGAAAAACTAGTTCAACAAGATGCAAAACCTGAGCTGACTTCAGGCCGTAAGAATGCCCCGCTCCATCTAAGCAGCTCCCTGGAGAGGTGTGGTTTTGGCACAGCATCAGGCAGAATTATACCCGATAAATGCAGTTCTGACAGCCCCCGTTGCTGGCCCTGAACAAGCCACTTCATTTCCTTTCTTCCTCCATTCAATGGTCACCAAGTAAAACAAAGGTCTCTGACGAGATGAAAAAGTGTTACCACTTCAGAGGAAACCTCCAAAAGTTGGGCGAGCCAAACGGTGCAAGCCTTTGCACAGACAAACCTACAGAAGGCTGTGCGTACAGGTTATATCTGCACAGCTTTCTGATGCTGGCGCTCTCCAGCTCATCCACTAGCATTTCCAAGAAAAACACAATCTCTGTAATGTTCTTTGAAGCGAAGCACAAATACTAAAACATCGTGACAGTCCAAACCGTATTTCAGGTGAGCAGCAAGTTACTGTCTCTGCTGAGCTTTGATTAGCTTGAACAGCCAGAGAGCAAGCCACTAGGAAAGCTGTCGCTGCCACCCAGCATAGCAGGCGTTCCCCAGATGGGTGATAACGGCTGTGCAGCCTTCCCAGTGGTGTTTTACTTCCTTACGCATGAAATCCAAAGCTTCTTTCAGAATCATCACCTAGGTTTGCAGACATGAAAAGAAGCGCCTTTAGAAAGAGCCCATGAGCAACCTGGCTTGTCCTTCTGACCTTCAGTGGTGACAGAGACCTCCAGGCCAGGTGTTCTGCTGGTGACGATGCAGGGATGGGTTTACCAAAATGCTTAAAGGTGGCTGTAGTTCTTTGCTGCTGGCATTTCCTCCTAAGTCATACAGCTGCCTGTGCTGCGAGTCAGGCCCCTCATCCCTACCACAGCTTCCTCCAGCCCAGAAAACACAGGAACAGTGAGGGTTGTGCAGAACGGCCCTTTTGGTGCTTGCTGCATCCTGCTTGGCCCTGCACTGCACTCCATCCCCACAACTGGCTGCATGTCGGTGCTGTGAGCAGTAACATCAAGGATCCCAGTGAGCACATTTGCACTGCAAACTCCAGTGCCAAGGAATCCAGCTGAACAGCCAGCTGCAGCGTGCTTCTGCTGACTGGCTGGAGAGCACGGGGCCCCTAGTTCAAACTAGCCCCCAGATACATTAGCCTCCAGCTAAGCTACTCACAGCCTGCCCCTGCTCATATCCAGAGGCAGAGAGAATTCCCTCTGAAGCAGCCATCCTGCTGCGCTGTGAGCTTTTATAACGCACAAAACCTAAGGGGCTTCCAACAGGGAGCATCAGCCCACACTCCTAACATACCCTTGGGCTGCAACACCTTTAGTCAAGGCCTTCACACCAATATCTTTACCTTTTTTTCCTCCCATTTCTTTAGAAAAGAAGTACCTCTGTGAGGGACAGGGGCTGCATCCTTTACCTTTAGCACAGCGTGCTTCTCGAGGCACTACGCTGACACAGCCTACTCTGCAGGATGCTCTTTTTAGTTAAGCTGTTTGAGTACAAGGTGTAATATGCAGGAAACCGCAGAAATCTCTTGCTAAGTTGTGGGTGAAGCAGTAACCTCTCGGGACGTTCGCGGTACCAGCTGCTGCGAGGTCGCAGGGAAGGATTGCTGTCAGCGTGCGGTGCGAAGCGAGGTGCAACATCCCGCCCAGTGGGTGCTTGTGGTACAGCAAGCCCACGAACACCGATATTTACACGTCTAAAAACTCACTGAGCAATCTGGTAGCACTTCCAGTTTCCTGAAATCGCCGTGTCGAGGCGTCTAACTTGCTGTGCTCCATCCTCAACTGGGAGTTCTTATTGCAAGCCTGAAAATGGAAATACGGACATCGACCCCACCAGTTCCTGGTGCCCGGGGATGCCAGCTCTCCGCATCTCCCAGTTTGCACACTACCAGACCACACCAGAACGTGCTCCCATTTCCCAGGGGCAGCAGGACTCCAGCATAACTCACGGAACACTTCGCCACTCTCTGATGGCAGGTGCAATAGAAACGTTATTTACTACTGCATTTTCCTGGCGGCTTTCCTCGATCTTCCTCGGAGCAGATGGAGAATGAGCAGCACTAACCGAGAAGCTGTGGGTGTAATCATTCACACATGCCTAATACTCCTTGAGCAGCAATCACTTCACTCAGCATGGAAAAGCGTGCCTGCCACGGGCAGCCAGAGCCCTTCCCTTACGCAGCAGCCCAGGAGACCCTAATCACCAAGGCTCCCCCAGGCGTTTAGGAAGGGGCCTCCTGATGCCACCAGCTGTGAGAGACCAGGGCTGAGAGTCACAGCAAAGGAGCAATGAGGAGGAAAAATGTGAACTATTTTTCTCCACCCCCAGGGGACAGGTGGCAATCCTATTACCGTAGTGGGGTGGGGCAGGGTGGGGGGCAGACGGCTGTGAGTACAGTAATCAAACAACCTTGCCAGGACAAGGAAATACTCTGTTTCTTGCAACAACACTGCGAGCAACCAGATGCATTACAAATCCCAAGCCCTTGGTACGTGACTCACCCTCAAATTCCTTCTGATACTTCCTCACCCCTCGTTTCACAGCCCCTAGCCAGCAGCACGTGCCCCGTGCATGAGCCAGACACCAGCTTGCTCAGCCTGGGAGGTCAGCAGCAGGCACAGGGCAAACCTTCGTGGGGAATGCTTCCCTAGGTGTAACCCCACTGTGTGCTGCATCGTACCTGGAACGCAGGACGTGTTTCCTGGGCTAGTTCAGATTTCTGACAGAAAGTGACAGAACAAATAGTGGAGAAATACTCAAAAGAACTTAAAAATATTCATAGGCTGAAGCCTGCTGTTTCACCTCAGCCACAGGGATTTCAGCACATTCCCTGGTGTGTGCTGGCATCCCCTGCACACATGCACAGGGCTCCCAGAGCTACCACCCTGCAGTCACCCTGCACCCCCTGATTCTGCTGTGGCCATCCCAAGCAGGCAAGCAGAACACCAACCATCTGCATCGCAGCCTCCTTCTGTGCTCTGAGGACAGCGGTGAGACTCCTATGCAAGGATTAACACATCTCAGCCCTGAAAAAGGCCAAGGCAAGAACTGTCCTTACTCTGCTTCCCTCCAGCTTTGCAAGAAGCAGGCACAGGTGAGGAACTGCCCTTTCCCCTACACCCACACCGCCCTGTGTGCTCCATCAGAGGGCAGGCAGCTCCCTCTCCTGGCAGACGGCCACTTGCCACCCTGGGCTCAGCCACAGCTGTGGTGCTGAGGGTCACATCCCCAGCCCCTTAGCTTCTGCTGATGGGAGCTAATATGGCAAGCACAGCCTGACTTCTCTGCCTATAACCCACACGCTGCAGATGAAAAGCAAAAACACATTGAAGAGGGCACCTGGTGAATACCCGTCATCTGTCAGAGAGCCTCCATCCTGTAGCTGGACCTCCTTTGCTAAGCCAGGTTAACCAAGTTTTTCTTGGTGAAGAAAATGCTCAGAGATAAGAGAAGAGGTGAGTGTCCTGCATTTCAGTCAGCCCCAGGGGCTGGTGGGGCCCTGTTCTTCTTCCCCCTCTGGGAGAAGACAATCACTGCCCTACAGTGCTTGATGTCAATGAAGAAAACACAACGTGCAGCAGAAGTCTGGGTGACAGATGGGGGGTCTGTGGCACAGAGCAATCAGGTGTCTTGTAAAGGTCTTGTTGGAAGTCTGCAGCAAAACCAGGGACCAAAGAAAGATGTCAGATACCAGTAACACTCCTGTGTTTTCATTACAAGGTTGTCTAGAAAAATCAATGCTCTCTAAATCAGCCTAAATCATACAGCCACGGAGAAATGCCTCCCTTGCCGAATTTTATCCTCACCTCCATTTTTCAGGGGGTCTCCCTGCCTGTTCCTCCCCTGACCTCTAGTGGTTTAGGCTTTGTCCGAAGCAGAGGAGTGACAAAGCTGAAGCAAAAAGTTACGGTGCTGGTTCTGACCCAGTTTCCCTGTAGTACAAAGCTCCCTGTAGTAGAAAGAAATGTTTAAATTGAAAGTGAATCCTAACAGCCTCTAAATGACATTCTGAACTTGTACAGTTTGAACTAGACAAGCCTGGTTCATTTTTACAAATTTGTAGCCTGCTCCTGCAGAAAGAGAATGTTTTTCAGAGGAAATATTAACCTTGGTTTAGTCCTTCCTAAGCTCAAGTGTGTAGGTTTCTATGGAATCTGCCTGCTCTGCTCTTCTTGCAGACTAAACACGGGAGAGGGGGAGAATCTGGGAGGTGCTTCAATTCTCCAAACCTGGATAACGCAGGGACATCAGGACTTGGGAGAGCGCTCAAGATCTCAGTCTCCTCAGATACATGCACTACATAATAGTAGCCAGTCAGAATAATCATGTTTCTGTAATCCAGGTGCAGTTGCCTATAAAATATTATTGCATGGGTAATTGGGTAAAGGAATGGCATGCTTTGATTTTGACCTTTCTGGGTAGCAGGTGCCACAGATATTCAAAGTACTGTTTGCTGCTATAGTAAGTGCATAGGATTTGTCTGGATGCTTCAAGAAGAAGTAAGACTAAGGCAGAACATGTCTGATATCCAGCTTCTTCAGTGAATTAATGCACTGCTTGTCAAGATCACTATAAGGTCATTATGCCTCAGCTCTAATTGCTATATGACACAAATGTAGCTATGCCAGCAGAAAGCCCGGAGCTATTAAAGGAACATATGCACCCTTCCCAAAGGAGCATTTGCTCTCATCTAATTGACTTATCGAGGACCAAGCCCTCCTCTTCCACTTCATCTCTCTAGATCTCAAACAGAGCACCCCTCCATTCCACCCTATATATTTGCCACTGCAACCAGAGCCCAGGCAAAGGAATACATGTAAGTCTGGCTCACCCATCCAAATCATCTGGAAATGGTCAAAACACACTTTTAGCTGCATCATGCTCTAACAATGCCTTGGTCTTCAGGCCCTTCAGGGAAGAACTGTCATTACTCGGTAAGGGATCCAACGCACACCTATCCCTATACACTAGATAATTAATACTGAACATGTTTACAAACTGAATCTTTTTCCTGTCTCCATGCATTTCAGTCAGTGCGGATGAGATCTCAGCGGGCTGTGGAGTTCCGAAGCCTCACCCCAGCAGCTGACCTTGACGGTACATGCTGTGAGGAGCAGGGGAAGACCTCGCCCGGTAAGCCTTGGAAGAACACTGGTGATGCTGCCTCCAAAGCTGTGCTATAAGGTCCTTGCCAGCTTTGGCAGCCTCATTTCAGGGTAAAGAACAAAGAGGATACTTATACTCTGCTAATTGGAAGATGGCAAGCACTTTATAGATGCTGCTGTAGGCACTGTTAAGTGCTATTTCTCTCCTGGGAATGCTTCCCATATGCCTCCTGTGGTCATTTAGATGGATGAATGTAGACTTTCTATTATTATTTTTGGAGCTACCTCGTATATGCAAGTTTCCATTCACCTGCATACAGCCTCTGAGCTCCATTTTCTCTTCAGGCTAGTCCCAGGATGAGAACTGTTAGGCTACTGATAGCTGGCTTTGTTTTGTTAACAGAACTTAAAAACAAAAACAAACACATTTAGAGATGAATCCAGATTTTTTTGTTTTGTTTTGTTTTCCAGGAAACTAAACTAGAACAAAATTTGAGTGGAACACATTTAAAAACTTACTAAATCTGAGTAAATATCTACATTATGTATTGTTTTCAAGTGAAAAGTTTTCCTGCCAAAAGAACAAGTTCAGCATTTTCAGGAAAAAAGATATTTTTTGAGTAAGCAACAGAAGCATGGTACTCCTTGAGAATTATGTCAAGACACAGCATACTGCATCATAATCGATTAATCCCAACATGTCACACTAACATGTAAGGGTAGAGCATTTTCTGTAGAATCTCCAAGTTGTCTCTGAACATAAGGTCCCATTCTGCTGAGAACAGTTACACTTCATATATTTTATATCAGTGTGTAGCTGATCATATCAACAGATCAGGCAGAGCAATCAAAAGCATCTAGACCAAGCAGTTTGAGCAGATTTGGGATTTAAACTTGGTCATTATGTAGTCCAGTGCTATATGAAACTAAATTCATGCTTTTGTAGCTTATGAGACCTGTTCATGCAGAAGGTGGTACTGCAGGTATCTCCCCTCTAGCTTAGCAGAGGTGTAAAGCAGTCTTTGGACCTAAGGCAATAAAATGCTTAAAATAAGAGATGTAGCATGCTATGTTTGGAGCATCAGAGGGTGCCTTACTGGGCTAGGGAAAGTAACCGGCCTTGTGAGAGTAACTTTTGTTTCCGATGGAAACCCTTGCACAACCAACCCTGCATGCTAAATAATTAACACCGAACACATTTACAAATTGAATTTTTCTGCTGTCTCCATGCATTTCACTGAGCCAGGGCTGAGGAGCCTCACTGAGCTGTTAAACACTGTAGCCTCCCTCTGCAGCTGACCTGACGGATTGCATCCGTGACAAGCAGAGAATCATCCTGCACCCAAGTAATTACTTCTATTAATTTCCAAAGACTTGTTCCCCCATTTAGTGACAATTCTTCAAAAGGGACTTTCATTATTAGTTCAAGAATTCAATTAATATATAAACAAAATTAAAACAGCTGGATACCAGTGTGTATCAGGGCTGTGAGCTTTGCTACCAGTGTTTGGGGATAAAACCACAACCTGATGCTCTTAACCAAGCTGTCCAGTTTTCCTTCACCTACACAAGTGGAGACTGCTCACTGCTGGCTCTGCTCCCTTAGCTAAAGCAGTCCTTGGAAGAGGCACAGGGACACTGGGAAAGATAGCAGCAGAAATTGTCTCTGTATCTTCTAACCAGGAATAGTTCCAGGTGGTCAAAGGCTTATAATATGCTATTGACTTAGGAATGGATTCCTAATAATCTCCTTCTGGGGAAGATGCAAGAAAAAAAAAAAAAAAAAAAAAAAGAGAGAGAGAGAGAGAGAATGATGTGCAGAGGAGCCTGGGAAAGATGTTTTATTGCTCAGAAAGAGGCAAAGCAGGTCTTCACCGCTATTTTTAACTCCAAGGACCTGCTCTCCTTCCCAGATCCAGGTTTGGAAGTTTCAGCCAAGAAATGGATCCCAGACCACCTTCAGAGCCCTTACACTGGATGTCCAAAACATTAGGGCAACAGCTGGAGACTTTACGTGTACTTGTCTGTAATGCTGAGAATAAAACCATCACAGGAACAATAATTTGTTTGTGAACGGAAGGAGGGTAACAATTTTCCTGTATCTTTCTTTGCAGCCAGTTCTAAGTTCTCTCTATACCAATGTTCCTTAAAGCAAAGTGAAATTGTCTTCCACTATAAAATACATTTTCTGATATCAGAATAAAAGCAGCACAAGTAGAAGCTGATGCCGTTCACTTTGCTTTGAAGTATACTTTAGCTGCATACCTGCAGAACATGCAAGTGTCACACAGGATGTGGCGGGTGAAGAAAACAATCCAAGCTGCAGGCCGAGAGGTTGAGTGCATGGACAAATATAAAGCATTCCAGCTCATCTACGTAAATTCTCCTACTACCTTTTAGAAATAGAAAAATCACTTTAAAACTATTAGCTATATAGCAGATTTTAAAAAATTATTAGTTTGCCTTCATCCGTGAATGTTCCCAGAAGAGACTGCTATTTCAGCCTTTCTTCTGCCTAACCCATACAGATGTCCGACAGCAACCCCATTCTGCTAAAAGCTCGCAGTGAGCTGGTGTTGCTTCCGCACAACCTGGCACAGCCCAGGTTTATGTGAGTGGAAACACAGCCAGATCCTGCTGGGCATTTCCAGCTGATGTGAGTCAAAACAGCCTTCACGTTGCAACTTTCCTTCCCCAGCCCTTGCACTCAGATGTACAAAAATAACCAAATGCCCCTCAGTCCCCAGTTCCCCTGAGACAAGGCTCCCTGCACCACGTGCCACTTGCTTTTCCTCCAACACTCCTCTTGTCGCAGGGTTGCTTATGGCCGTGTGTTGCTTTTGAAGGGACAAAGAACGGCACTTTGGGCTGGATGAGATTTCCATGTGCTTTCAGTTTTGTTTTCTTGTCTGCCAATCTTGTGCTCAAGATACTGCTTAGAGGCGAGTACCGTTATTTGGGTTAAAAGCAGCATTACTTATTTCTACGGCTTTTTACACACCCCTCACTGGAATGGGGGTCAGATAGAAGTGCCACCTCTCCCTGAGGACCTGTCACACTTTAGCAGCTGATGTTTGACCTGACTCCCCGACTCCTGCCACCAGGACAGACAACTGCATGCGAGGCATTCAGTTCAGAAGGATCCACCACACACACTTCATGCACCCTTCCTCAAGCCAGGCCCAAAATTTGGCAAATCCACAGCTGTCGGGTATCAAAGACCACAGAAAAGGTCAAGTCACTGCAAGTGTCTCTGGTTCCTAGAGAGCACTGCTGAATGGGAAATGCTCAAGTGGTCCTGGGAAGTTACCAAGGTACAGGGGAGACCTGACGAGCCCCAACAGCACCACGTAATTGGAACGTGAAAATTTGTTCCTAACCTGAAATTTCATAATCAGTTTAACCTTGAGTATAACAAGATATACAGCACTTGAAAGATTTCAACATCGCTCACAGCAGGTGCCTTTGCGAGGCATTTAGGGTGGATCTCTAGGCACTTACCCAGCCAGCAGACACCCAGCACACACAATTCGACCCGTGAAGGCTGCCGATAAGGTTTCACTGCAGCAGCCTACCAGAGGCACAGGCTGAGCCAGCTTTCAGGTCTCTGCAAAGCCTCCCACTGGCCTCGTTCTTTCAAGAGGTCAGATGGGTTCCTTGAGACTTCAGCGTGGGATTTTTCCAAATGCACCTAATGGGAACACACATTTCATAGAAGAATTCACTCAACTCTATAGAAAATACCGCTTCCCACAGGCCATTGTGTTTTGTTACCACACCTCTTGCTTCTGGCTGTTATTTAACACAGGCTCCATTACCTTAGCTGCTGTCCAGCTCATGTTCTTCAACGCACTTAGCTTCACAAACACCCAGTGGCACAGGGCCCAAGGCAGAACTGTAGCTCCACCAGGTTGCAGAGGGAGTAAGGCACCTCAGGAAATCAGGCTAACTGGGTTTTAGAGACTGGGTACTGCCACACAGGAAGGCTGTGGCAGAGTAGGACTTCTCAGAGGCCTCGGTGAATGACTGCCTTTGGAAACCTTCTTCCATAAATCCTCCAAAAATATCTCTGAAGAGCCTATATTGAGGAGTTTTCCAGGAGGAGAGTACTGTCAGCTGGGGTATGATTGTGGGAGTACTGCTGCCTCTCTAGCATGTGCACGTAGTCAGCAAAGACACATAGGAGGAGGCTGAAACCAACAGCGAGAAATAAGGACGTGGAAACAATTTCCTCCTCTGTTCACTCTTGGGGGTTCTCGTTCAGATCTATTTTGACATGATTGCTTTGGGGTTTAATGCTAATAAGGTTGAATTTAATTGCAGTCTTGCTATTCCCTCTGAAATCATAAGGTTTACATGTAAATAATTTGAAGGGAATCATTTTTTTCACTGCACTTTCCCATAAAGGAAACCAGTGAGGGAAGAAACAGCCATATATTGGTGTTGATAATATGTCCCTCCAGAGAGGTATTCACTGCATACCAGACGGCACCAGGCCAGATTGCATCCTCGGTAGCATTAATTTACGTGCTGGGTTGCCAAAGACTGGATTGGGAAGCCCTCCAGCTAATGAAGAGATTCCCTGTGGTCACTTCTAAGTGGTACACTGCGATTTTTTTTTTCCGTTCTCTTTCCCTGTTTTGAGGAGGTTGGGGTTATGCTATGCATGCTGCCAATTCCCGTTCATTTATCTTTTTACCATCTGCTTCTGGTAACTTCTGTGGGCCTGACACTAAGGATTTTTATTATCCATATTTAATGTGACTATCTGGGAGGCTCTTCCTCTATTTTCTCCCCTCTTTTTTTTTTTTTTTTTTTCATAACAGTCCTCAGCAAGCAATACTGGAAAAAAGAGATGAGAAACGATCCTGTTATTCACGAGCTTGAACTTGGACTTAACATCTTTTACTTAATAGAATCTTCATCAACATATCCTGATACACTAGCAAAAAGTTATGAACGCTTTACATAGTCTGTGGAACTGTTCGTATATTTGTACCAGCTGGAAAAAGAGCTCCCAGTAAGGCAGCAGGCCAGGGCCAGGAAGAGGTGCCCACGGTGAGCCCTTCGGGGAAAAAAAAAAAAAAAAAAAAAAAAAAAAAGTAAAATATAAGAAAAGCTTCCTCCTATATGTAATCTTACTGCCAGGGAGTTAACAGAGCAGAGAGAACCATCTGAGTGCCTGGTCTTCAGCTGGCAGACCTTGCACCAGGCTGCTCCCAGCTGCTCAGAGTGCAGGAGTGCCCCAAGAGGTGCCTCTTGGGTTCAGAGCTGGTGGGACTGAGAGACCCAAGGATCGCTGCAGAGTTACAGCTTCTGGAGAGGCTGCTAGTCCTGCCACAACTTCATCCTTCAACAAAAAATGTGCAGATAGCTAGTGGAGCTGTTACATTAATAATAAATAAAGGGAAAAAGGCTTGAAAACAGCCTACAGAGCAATTCAACCTGGGCTTTCCTTCACTTCGAATCTACAGGCGTGCTCTCACCCCACTAAAGATAAATGGAAACCATGCCATCACAAAGCCTTGCTCTGAAAACTAAATCTATAAAGTGATGTTGGTAGAACAGTAGATTTCTCAAGATATTTTGTTTTAATAAGCTTTGTATATTTAATGACATGGCATAATAAAGGGACTGCTTCCACCTGTTCCTCAGACTAGGTGAAGATCTCTCATAATGCAGAAAAGTTAAAGTTTACTCCCCATTATGGATGTTTTTTAAAATGAATTCTGCTTTCAATGAAAAGCTACTTATCAAACCCAATTGCAAGCTGTCAAGTGGTGTGCATTTAGGTCCAAAAAGCACAGCTAGTATTGCTGGGGCTCATCCATTTGTGGGAAGTCACAGGGAGGGTGTAACTAGCCTTCAGAGTGACGATGATACCTTGTCCTCAAGTAGCTACAAGTGCTCCAGACTCCCAAATTCCTCATCTCTGCCCAGCAGCGCGTTTCTCTTCACCTTAAGTACAGACACTGATGCAGTTTTGGTATAAAGAGAATAGCACAACTCTCACAGCAAGCACATTCATCATCTTCCTTAGGAGACTCTAAGCGTGATAAATGGCATTCAGTTAGGTGGGTAGAGAAAGGGCAGGAGTCTGTACTGGGAGCAAGAGAAAGAGATAATTCCTACCTGGGACAGGGAATAAGAGAATGGTACAAGGAGACACATTGAATTTCCATTCTAAAGGCAAAGAGGAGTGGGCAGCTGCCTTGTGCTGAGGCGCAGGGGCAGTGAGTCAAGGCCAGTGAGAGAAGTTGTCTGGCAGACAGCAGGTCCAGACCCTGCACTGAATTTTGTGTCACCAACAGTTAGGAGCAGATCACTGCATCATAACATGAAGTGAATTAGCAGTGAAATAAAAAGGGAAGATGATTTGCCCTGTCCTCTTTTGCTGTACAAGAAAACACTGGGGCTAGCAAGTGTGATGCTCAAAGGCACAACACAAAGATTTAGAGAATACGGGCTGTGGGAGCTAATTGGGTTTTTGCTAAAATATGTATGCACTAAATAACATTCCAAGTGAAATAAATAGATGTCTTAATTCATTCCACTCTCAGGAAAGCTCAGCAGCACTTACAGCATCACGAGGGCTTTCTTCTGCACACCACTGGACTTCAATCCTCGGCTGTTTTATGCCTGGCAGCGTTGTGAAAAGGACATTCTGCTGACAGATATCGATCGTGTTAGGGGCTTCCCCAGCGCAGCTGTCCACACTGGTAAGCTCCTGGGATTGCTTCTGAGCTGACTGTAGGGCTTTAGTTTTAAGCAGACCATTATGAGCTGACTGTGTGGGTCTCTAACTTCTAAAATCCCTTGAATTCTCTGGTCTGTGTGATGAGACAAAAAACCCTGCATCATAACGGGCTTGGATGAGTCCCGGTTAGGGCTCTTGCCAGGTGAAGGTCAATGCACGTTAAGTAACACCAGGTGCAAATGTCAAAGTGCTGCAACAGCCTTTGCACAAAGGCCTGTTCCACCTCTGTCCCCACACAGGTGGGATTCACCACTCCAAAGTGCTTTGTAAATCGGGTCTGACAAACAGCTGCTGAGAGGCACAAGCTACGGGATTTCACATCAGCCCCCTTTTAAGTCCCTGCTTGCAAGCAGGGGGCAAAGCAAGGTTAAAGCTCCTCACAGGTCCCTCCCAGGCACAGCTGCCATGTACCTGACCTTTCAGTAACTTGCCCAACAGAGCTGCCTCCTGCTTTGGCCTCCACAGGGCACATGCTGGGCCTGTCTGGGATTTGGGATCCTTCACAGCAGCAGGGAAGCAGGGTGCTTCAGTCAGACAACACACAAGCACAAATCCATTCTCCCTTGCAGAAAACTTTGCCATTTCCTCAAGGCTGAAGGCATTTTAGGTAAACAGTTAACTTCTTTGGGTTCCTTTAGGATTCTTTTTTTCCAAGGGATGGTTGTTTCAGGGTTCTAGAACACCAATTACTGATTTATTTCTTTTATGATGACTCTGAGAGGATGTAGACAGAGCTGCACCCCAACAGCCCCCTCTCCATCACACTTGTGCATCCTCTGGCTCAACTCAGTTTACAGCAAAGTACAAACCATCTCTGACACAGAGCTCTAGCACTACATGCCACACATCATTCAGGGCCAACAGGCTTCTAGGCACAAAGAGTGAAGTTCAAACATCCAAGCACCACCAGCAGCTTTAGCCCTCTGTATTTAGTAGCAGACTGTTCTGCCCCTCAAGCTCTGCCCCAAGAACAATAAATGGCATTTTAGTTAAGCATCTTTTATGACTTCACTCTTACTGCTACAGCCTTATGAAACTGCATCTTGTCTGTTTGTCCAACCTTTCCAACAGAGGAGAAACATTACAGAGTTTCACCCAATGCTTTCTGCCATTCTTTTTAACCACTGTTTTTGAGGGTCTGGTGAAGCCAGGTTATTTGGTGTTGACAGACATGAAAGAGAGCTTCCAGTCATAATCAGAGGAGTTCCCATCTATACCGTGAGATTCAGATACAGCTTTGCTAACTCAGAGCTAGGATTTGGAGATTTCTCTACATTTCTGGAGTTCAAATTCAGTTTGTGAAATCCCCCAAGTATGACAGAAGAACAAAGTTCATTATATTCCTTTCTGTATTAGTGCTTACGATAAGGAAATGCAGCAGGACTTGGTCATTCTGCTTTTCAGTGCTCAAAGGGAAGCAATTTGCTGAGTGAGAATAGGAAAGCTTTTTATAGCCTGTTTTCAGGGAAGAACAAAAATGCAAGGAAAAAAAATCAAGTGAGTTAGAGGGATGAATACTTTTACTTTCCTTTTTTTTTTTTTTTTAATAAAAAGCTGTAGAAAGACAAAAGCCTAAAAAATATCTGTCCTCCCATCAGTGAAGCATGGGGAAGTGACTTAATGCTTGTGGTCCACACATCCAATCCCTTTGGCTAGGCACCACGTTGCACTCGTGCATCCCACACATTTCCATCCCTATTCAGGCCAAGGGCAGTGTTAGACCTGCACCAGGATGCGATCGACACCCCGCAGGAACAAAACCTTCCCCCAAATCTCCACGTGAGCAGGTACACAGCGGTGCAGGTTGCCCAGCTCCAGAAGACATGAAAAACAAAGCACATTTTGAAGATGTCATACACACAGCTGGCCTGAAAGTGTTTTATTTCTTTGCACTATTGCCCCTAAACATCTGAACTGAGAGCCACAGCCTGTGTTAGATAAACAAAGTGCCTAGCGCTCATCAGTACTGACTCGAGGTGGCTTTTAGTAGAGATTGAGATGAAAGCTCCCAATCAGCTAGAATTTCTGTTGCCCAGTTGAGTCCTTTTCTGAGCACAAGTCTGAGCTATGAGGCTAATTTCTGAAACCACAGAGAGGATTTTATCCAGGGTCTGTTAGCCATCGTAGCAGCAGGAAATACATTACCATGGAATGGCTCAGAGAAAATAGCCTGGATTTACGACACAACTGAACAAATTGGAAAATTAAGTAGCCTCAGGTGTTGCCTGCATAAGCTCCTTAAAGCAGAAAACAAGATCAAGTAAAAACCAAACAGGAATGTCTCCAGGAAGGTTTCTCATTTTCCTAGAGATTTAATATTTAATATTGTAGATCCTATGCAAGTCTACTGTAATCTTGTGTATATAACTTCTCTTCCAAATACGTATTGACCCACTGCACATGGATAGCAATAAATGCATTTATGCCAATAATATTGCACAAAGGAGAGCAAGCTGCGTTCCTGTATGTGAGCAATTCCTTACCAAAATGTGTCCTGTTGTTTGTGACTTCATGAAATACTACCAACTAAATCTAGAACAGAGAAACACGTGCATGCGAGTGGATCGCAGCCCTGCACTGTCACGATAACACGATGCTCACAGCTCATAGAGGGCTGAAAACTCAGTGAAGTGAGAGGGATGTGGGGAGAATACTTCCACAAGCTTTACAGTGGTAGTCAAAATTAAAAAACAGCAAGGGAAGGGTATCAAATGCAGTTTTCAGTACACAATGCTGTACACATTACATGGTTGAACAAATAGCAAAATACTCTCAAGAGCTTTTTACCCTTCC